TGTGATGTGCCCCCTCTCTCTCTCTCTCTCTCTCGCTCGCTCTCTGTCTCTCTCTCTCTTGCTCTCTCAATCTCTCTCTCTCTCTCTCGATCTCGATCTCTCTCTCGCTCTCTCTCTCGCTCTCTCTCTCGCTCGCTTGCGCACACAAACACGATGCGCAAAACTCCGCATTTGAACAGTCAATAGCAAATACTTAAACTAATAACAACAGTAGCTGATTCAGAAGCGCCAGATTGTCATAGCAAAGTCAGAATTACCTCCTCTCCTAGGTTCACGAAAAGGTCGTCCATAAAATGCATTGCTGTTCTGTTGTAAGTCATCATAAAGATTCCTAACTGCATCTACTTTCAGAAGTGCCAAATAAAGTGCTTTTGCTTTCGCCTAGAAACACACAGCGTCTCCCTGACATGCTGCTTTAACACTTAGGGCGGTTACTGAAACCACGCCTTCTTTCTTTGTGTGACCATTTGGGCAGCGTTATGCAAATATTTCCAAATAGTGAGGTAGATATGTGGGGGCGTGTTAGAACGAGCCGTTTTAGGGGGGCGTGGCAGAGTCTTAACTTTGATAAAGTATATCTCTTTGGTTTTGAGACTTTAGTCTTTGCAACTTCAGGGATCTTATCTATGCACAATCAGCTTGTAACACTCCAAAGAGAAAGGAAAACTTGAAATCGCATCATATGACCCCTTATATTAAAAAATGTCCTGTCTCTTCCAAGCTTTATAATGGCAGTGAATGGGGTTATTTTTCATATTTTCATACATTTCATATCCATATTTAAAAATGTATAAACCGTAATCACTAGTTTCCAACTGTCGTACTCGTGTTCACTACAGAGTGGTGTTCGGGTGGATGATGTAGGACGTAGGCATAGCGTAAGCTCCGGTGAGAAGTATCTAACGTGGAGAGCAAAACAAAATACCGGTCACGAATTGCAAGTACAAAATAAGGATTTGTAAAGATAAATGTTTGAATATTTCAATATAAGCCAAGATGAGACTGGTTTTCCTTTGCTAAACAAAGGAAACTTTGCTTCCTTTGTTCCTGTAAACAAAACTTGGTTCTCGCGAGATGTGGTTCAAAGCATAAGTCCCATACGTCATCCACTGGAATGCCACTCTCTTGTGAACACGTGTAGTGGTTAATCTTATTATGGTTGATCTTTACATTACAAATACTTTTCTTACACAAATGCTTCGATTCGCTTCAGAAGGCCTTTATTAACCTCCCGGAGCCGTGAGGGACACTTTTTTATGATGGATGGATGCAGTTTATTGTACTTCTATTGGACTATTGAATATTACCACCCATTCACTGCCATTATAAAGCTTGGAAGAGAAAGGAAATGTTTTAATATAACTCTGATTGTATTCATCTGAAAGAAGAAAGTCATATACACCTAGGGTGGCTTGAGGGTGAGTAAATCATGGGGTAATTTTCATTTTTGGATGAACTATCCCTTTAACTTTTTTTTTTCAATTAAAAAAGCTATTTTAAATTCTAATAATATTTCACAGTATTACTGCATTTTTGATCAAATAAATGCCTTGGTGAGGCTTCTTTCAAAAACATAAAAATAACTTAATTATTCCAAACTTTTGACTAGTAGTGTAAATACAACATAAATTAATAATCGTAATTTTCTTGTTTTCCTGTAAAAAAAACAAATAAAACAAAACATCTTAACATCCTTAAAAGTGCAGTGTAATCCCTGCACTGGCATCATTATATGGACACTTGCCTTCTTAACCTCGTATTTAATGGCCAGTTTGACACGACTGAGCAGGGAGCGATGATGCTGGCCTTCTTCGAGCTCGGCGGATATATCTCCATTCAAGATGGCCTCCACCTCCTCCGTGTCCCTGCACAGATCCAAAACGCCAACTACAAAGTCTTTACACTGCATAGATAGCTTCCTGTAGTCATTCTGTAGAGAAGGAGAGAATGAGCAGAGAAGGTTTGCTTAAAACAGGAGCTCACGGTCTACAGGGGCCTTTCAGGTGAAAAGGTTGTGAAGCTTGAACAACCACTGCAACGTCTGGCTCAAGGGCATCAGCAGGAGATGGAGTATTTGCCAGAATCCATCAGACTCCAAACACAACATCACTCAGCCCTAATTATCTTGGAAAGAAAATGGATGAATGGCATTTTCTGATCTAGTTTATTCAGAAAATTCTGCCAAGATTTGCCAGTTTTTCAAAGGGGAGTTTATGATTGTAATGACTGTGATTACCACTGCAATTATATTTGGTTATGGCTAAAGTAATGTTCCTAGAAAACGTATTTTGTACTTGAATAGGAAATTAGTCTTTCAGGTCACTGATTGCTCTCCTGTTTGATATCAAAACATTACTGTCATTACAGAACAAACATTTTTAGCTGGTGAGCGGCAAAACCTGATGTGATCCCAAAAATATCTGGACATTTATATATGTATTAATGTTGTTTCATTAGATAACATGATAGCAAATCAAGTATCTGGATCAAATGCCGCAGGATCTTTTCTCTTCATTAACGACAACATTTTCTTCATCGTGTTGGAAGTGTCAGTGTGTTCAGCTGGTGTTTTGATGATTTTCAGTGGATGTATGTTCACACATAATACACAGATGTCCAATGAGATGAATCACTGGTGTAGAGAATTACATTAATCATCAAAATGATCCACTAACCAAAAACAAGCACTTAATTTTATCACTTGAAGGAATAAGTAATCCACACAACTTCAGTCCATTAGTTAATCTTGTGAAGCAAAAATGTACATGTTTGTATGTAACAAATCCATGATCAACCGAGTCCTCTATCCATAATATTACTTTCTCCAGAGGAAAAAGTTGCCTCGTCTGAATCCGAAAGAGAAATATGCACAGAGGAAGCACAGTTTATAAGCCAAAACCAAAACATTTCTGAACAAATATGTTGGTGGATTTTGATATGAGAGGACAGCAGGAGATGGACTTTTCTAGGGAGCTTTATTATGGATTATGGACTCGTATTTTGGCCAAAATTAACAGTTTGAAGTAAAAATGCCTTAATGATGGATTTGTTTCTTACAAACATGCAGCTTTTCGCTTCCAAAGACATTCATTGATGGACTAGAGTCATGTGGATTACTTGTGGATTATTGTGATGTTTTTATCAGCTGTTTGGACTCTTATTCCGACGGCACCCATTCACTGCAGAGCATCCATTGGTGAGCAAGTGATGTAATGCTACATTTCTTTCGATGAAGAAACAAAACTCATCCACATATTGGTTGACCTGAGGGTGAGTACATTTTTCAGCAAATCTTCTTTTTTAGGTGAACTATTTCTTTAAAGCCTAAAACAAATGTTTGTGAAATGTTTGCTTGTAACGTGTGTTTACACTATATTTCTTGTCAGTAAATGACAATTGTTTGACGTTTTATATCTAATGAAATTTAGATATTTTTATGCATTGCTTAGGTGTCCAAATAATTGTTTGGGTTCACTTTAAATATTTTACTTTGTTAGAAAAGTCTTTGTAACAGAAAAGAGTATACATAATCGTAAAATGCATCACACCATAAAACAACAGAAAATGGTAAGCTAAAGTCAACATGAAATCAAAACTCTCCATATACTTGCTTCCTTAACACTGGGCTCTATATAAATGACTTACGTATCCATATTATTTCACAGTAAGAATTAATTTTTCATTAAAATCCAATAAATTACATAATCTCTTAAAATCCAATAAATTACATAATCTCTTAAAGGGGTCCTATTATGCTCTTTTACAAAGTCTTGATTTAGTTTTGGGGGTGTACTAGAACAGGCTCTCATACTAGGTTGTTCGAAAAACACATTATTTTTCACATATTTTACATTATTACAACACCTCTCTCCCCAGTCTGGCATGAACGGCTCAAATAGTTCCTGTATCAAATGAAGGCCCGCTTTCTGAAATACGAAATGTGCTGTGATTGGTTAGCTGGGCCAGTGTGTGTTGTGATTGGTTCGCTGGGCCAGTGTGTGTTGTGATTGGCAGCACTCGGCGCCTGGTCGGGAAATGTCATGCCCCTTACCATAGCCACCTGCGAGCTACTGTGATGACGCGTTAAACGGTCATCAGCATCGTAAATCCTCGAAAAGTTTTTTTTAAAACGTATGTACATTTATAACACTATTCTTTGTATTATATCACCTTTGCATCAAATTACAAAAAAACAGTTAACGCTAATGCGAGTCTCTTTCAAATTCAGAGTCTATATGGTAAAATTGGATGGTAAATTTGACATCGTTCTCTCTTCTGACAGCCGTTATCAGTCTCTCTCAATTTTTTTCCTTTTATTGAAAGTCATGAAAACACTATCGTGGAGTTTTTCTTTTGTTATTTGAGCAAATGGGAATGCAAAAAATATATTTGTGGTACTCTCCCATTCACTGCTACTCAAGTTAACCCAACTATGATGACTTCCCCTGCTGAAAAACCCGCAAATGTGAAAAAGGTCCTTTGCGTCAAAATCAAATCAATCTGAGCGCGATTTAAACCCGTATGATTGTAACCACTCTAAGTTCGTCTGCCTTGGGAAAGCTAGCGTGTCTCCGACACAGTGATAACACTCGTTGCCTTCTCTAGTGCAGCTCAACCAGGTCTCGTCCCATTCGTCGATATTTGTGATATCACAAATCCCGGAAAATATGCGTTGTAGTCCAAACGAGTCGTTCGTTGTAGTTTTTGAAAAGTGATTTCTGTTAAATAAAAAATCTCCTTTTGAATTGGACTTTGAGCTTTGTAACTTTGCTGATCTTTCTTATGCTCAAACAGCAACATTACAGACTAACTAAAGTTGAAAAAGTGAAAAAGCATAATAGGACCCCTTTAAATTATTATTATTGTTATTTTTAGTTAAAATCATCTAAAATCATCAAGTCTATTCAACAAATGGTCACCGTCAGGGTTTCGAGAGGGGAAACTCTAACATGCAACAACCAATTTTCAGTATATATATACATTTTTGATGTCCCAGCCTATATTTTTTCTATTTAAATAACCAGTTTTAGGTAAAATGGGTTGCGAATGTAATTTTTTGAAAGATAAATTAAGAAGTTGCTACACACCCAAAGCTCATTTAAGGAAAATTATCCAATAACAACATGCCAACAGTTTTTACAAACAAATAATGAAAAACAAAGAAGTGATGGAGCCTTAACTCTGAACTATTTCCAAAAGACTACATGACTAGCTGTTTCGTGAGAGCTGAGTTGTTTATGTGTATCATCCTGGGTGATTCTTTGACTGACTTCTTGACTTTTTCATTACTGAATTATTAAACCGTAGCACCATAAATCCTTTACCATGAGGAAAAGTCAATACCTCTCTTGTTAACCTCAGATACACTCAACTCACTATGCCAAATGGTTCTTTGCTTCATTTAAAAACCTTATTGACAGCATTGAATAAGCATAAATAAACAGTGTGTGGTCCTCCACAGGGTTCACTAGATAGATATCAGGTAGACGTCATATCAGTGTGATCTCCCAGCATGCATTGCTGTGTGCTTTATTGCTCTCTGTGGGAGAATATTATACCTTCTCACGCCACCAGGATGACAAAAAACCTCTTATCAGCATGAGAAAAGCAATGTTACTGACCATATGTTATATGAGAATCAGACACCAGTGTTATGACGGCTATCATCACAAGTATGATGGGTGTACAATAGTTGCATGTGATGATGTGACATTTATTTGCTCAATACGACAAAATGCAAAAATATACACCAAGAACTAAGTAATATTTAGGTGAATCTCACAGAAACATGTCCAGGTCATATTTCACTCCAAAATCAAATGGAAAAAAATACATAAAATCTTATATTTAAAATATTATAATTAACTACTGTATATAACTCAGTAAAAATATATAACATATTTTCATAAAGAAAATGGAGTCTGATTTTAGGACCATTAACATATATATTTTTTTTGCGTTATTTTCATACTGCAGAAAATCGAGGCTCCCATCGCCCCCAAAAAAAGAAATGAAAAAAGACAAAAAATTGAGAAAATGGAATTTAATCTATTATTTTTTTCTTGCAGCAGCAAATGTATACACTCCAAATATTATATTTAAAATAACTGAATATATATAAAAATATAAAAAATATTTTCATGAAGGAAATGGGGTCTATTTTTAGAACCATTAACATTTTTCAAATTGTTTTCAGGACAATAAAGCACTTTTTTGCACTGTAATGTGTCCAAATGTTTTCTTTTCATCACATTCTCATATATTAAAATCAGCGTAAAGTTATCCCACTTTTATACTGAATTAAATAAAAATTACAGATACTAACATGATATATTAATACTTTTTTAAAAATATTACAACAACAGAGATTTGCATTACAATAAGGTGTGTTTAACTGCAAGAAAATAATGTCACAATGCAAAAAAATCTTATGGTTCTACAAAATTTCTTAATTTTCTTAATGCAAAATATATTATTTTTAATTCCATTTGAAAAATGGCCTGTTCTAGACTAGTTTTGTGAGATTCATACATTTATGCATTATTATATATCTTATCAGTGGCTCTTTGTGCATCAGTGAACTATGAAAGCATAAATGAGTTCTGCAGCTTAATAAAATACAACAAATGATTCATTCTTAAATAAAAGCTCTTGAACAGAGCTGAAGAGAGAGCTCAGTTTATCTGAAGTGAATCTCTGGCTCTGCATTATATTGAACATGTCTCACGGTTCTGCTGCTGCAAAAACTGATAGCAATTCAGCGATTCGATTGTCCAGACAAGCAGATATGCCAGCCTTGACATAAAAGCTGAATCAGCAAGCATGACAATCAGTTACTGTTAGTCTGAGTTATTGAAAATGATGTAGTCAAACATATTTACCAGAAAGAAGCCATTGTGCTGCGATGTCTCTTTATTACGGTTCTTTTTATCCTGTCGACGGCAGCAGCAAACACAAACAGACACACACACACGCAACAGAAGATAAAAATGCTGTTAAAATGGAGATAAATGTTAAGATAAGTGATGCAAACATAGGATGAACTTTAAAGGAAATTTAAAGACAACAACAAAAATGCAATAAAATGCAGCTTGCAAATGGCCACGTTCACACTCCAGGTTAATTTCGAATAAGACAAACTAAAATGACTCAGTTCAGAAAGGGCTTTGAATGATTTACTTATTGAATCTGATTCAAATCACGAATATTTTGTGAATAATTTTGACTGATTCATCAAAACCAACTCATTTGAGAGTCATTTGTTCACAAATCAGACATCACGGTTCGTGCTGTGTCATTTTAAAGATGTGATTAATGCAACCAGATAAAATGATAAATTACACAAAATGTTTATTTATCACAGTGTGACTCCTATATTATTTTTTCATGCACTGTAATAATTAAGATTAATTCGCTCTTACAGTATATTTAAAATTTGACTCCCTAAACTTTGCAGTGCATACATGACCAATAAAAACTATTAGGCACAATTTTTAAGGGAAAATAATTCTGCTGTAGAGTCAAAACATTTACAAATGCATTTAAATAAAAAGTGTTTAAAGAAAAAACATACGGTGCAGACTTAAAAATACAATTGCAGTCCAGTCTCACAAGTGAGTTTATCATTTTGTAAATCTTTTTGTCTGATTCATCAAAACCAAGTCATTTTTTCATGAATCAGACATCATGGTTCACGCTGTGTTTGTTGCTACATCACTTTAAAGATGTGATTAACTAATACAATCTGATAAAAAAATAAATGACAAAACTGCATTTTTACACGACATCAGGTATGAATCAGGAATCTTGAATTATTTTTATATGCAGTTCAGTGAAATAATTGATTTGATTAATTCGCTCTTATATTTAAAAGTGGTTAAGATTTAAAAAACTTTTTTTATGTGGCCAATAAGTTTGAAGTCATTTTGTGAATCTTTTTGACTGATTCATCAAAACTCATAAGAGTAATTTGTTCGTAAATCGGATATCACAGTTTGCGCATGCAATATTTCTATATGCAGTTGAATAATGTAGGAGATTAATTCGCTCTTATATTTAAATGTGGTTGTGACTCCCAAAAATGTGCGGTGTGCACGTGCCCAATAAAAAAAACATTATGCAAATCAAATAAAAACTTTCAAAACAAATGAAAAAGCCATGTTATTAAAGCAAAAACAAACGCATGTTTATCCAGTCCCACAGTGGTGGCCATCCTACCTTAAATTCTTTTTCGATGTTGGCGAGTTTGGTGAGCTCATTGCTCAGCTCTAGCGCGGTCAGTACGGGGTCTTCGCTGGACAGAGAGAGATAAGCCGGACTGGCCAGTCCACGGTACGCATTTATCCTGGACCGCGAGTGGCTGAACGAGTCCTTCCTCTGCTTCTCCGTGCAGTCAGCGCATTTGCAGAAGTAGTCGTGAGGCCGCTCGATCCTGGCGCCCTTCATCAGGAGCATGTGCACGACCTCGTATTTCTGGCAGTGGGCGGCCAGGATGATAGGCGTGATATCGGGTGAGAACCGTGTGCCGTCCTCGTCGTACGAGTAAAAGTCGTCGTCTTGCAACTCGCAGGGGCTGCGGGTGAGTCGTTCGCCGCCCGCAAAGGACGGATGTGCCAGCAGGGCCTCCACAATACGCATGTAACCTTTGGAAATCGCCAGCAGAAGCGCATCCCCGACACGGGCCAGGTTGTCTCTCTGCAGGAGCAGCTCGGTGACCTCCAGGTGTTCGTTGCCGACGGCCAGCTGTAGCCCGTTCTGTCCCATATAGTCGACACAGTTCACGTTGAGTGTGGGTGATTCTTCCAGCATTTTACGGACCACCGGGATGTTGCCGTACTCCGCCGCGTCCAAAAAGCGTTCTTCCTCCGCCGTGAGGCTGCTGCCACGGGTGTTGAACATGAACGCCGGTCCGCGAACCGCCTGTCGTCGGCCCTTTTCTCGTGGTAGGGTCATCCTGCGATGGGGGAACGTATCCGAAGATTTCCTGCAATTGAAAAATAAGTATTTTTACCTTGTGAACGTTAGCCAAGCTCATCCAAGTGGAAGTGACTTTCTATGCACTTGGCTGCTTGATTATATCTCAAGCCTTTGACAAATATCCAACAAGTTGACTTTCTCACTGAGAGCTGACAAGTGGTGTATCATCAGGGACGTGATCCCACAGGGACGGAAAGGTGATTCGGGCCGGACGGTCCTGCTGAAGGCGAGATCGCCCTCTGGCTTTTAATAGCTTTTTAATGAAACGCAACAGATGCCATATTCAGACAACAGGTGGAGTGACGTCTGTTCTCAACTCAAGCTGACTCACGTTTAGTGAGCACTCGAGGTGAAGAGAGCATACAGTAAAAGAGTGTGAATGTTCATTTCGCTCAATTGTATGGATAATACTTTTAACAATGTTAATACGTATTGGGCCTTTACTCTTTACATCTTGAGACTTCATGTCATTCATATGAAAGGTTTAAAACCCTTATCCCTTTCCCCTATTCCCCTATACTTCTGTACACTCACTGCAATACAAAGTCCAAAAAACATCAAAACATTTTTGGGAACTGGTTGGGATTTGGGAATTTGGCACTAGAGATCTGTCCCAATTACAAAAGCTTATTCTGAGAGGATTTTAACACCTTCTGACCAATGATTTTCTATGACTTTTTCCCATGCATTTTATAGAGACTGCACTCTGGTCAAATATTTTAGAGTAAAGCATGGCTGAAAATGGAAAATATATATTTAACACATTCTAAAGAATGTATATTTGACATTCTTTAAAACTGTGATTTAAAAAGAGGACATAAATACAGACATGCATATAATTTACAGTCATTTAAGAAATTATTTTTTAAATTATTTAAATGATTTGAAAATGATAATATATACACACACACATACTGTATATATATATATATATATATATATATATATATATATATATATATATATATATATATATATATAATTGTAGCCTATGTATGTATAATGTATATGTGTGTATGTATACAGTTGTGGTCAAAATGTTACATACACTTTCAAATATCTGCAAAATGTTAATTACCAAAACTCAATCATACAAAATGCATGTTGTTTTTTATTTAGTACTGACCTGAATAAGATATTTCACATAAACGTCATTTATATATAGACCACAAGAGGAAATAATAGTTGAATTTATAAAAATGACCCCGTTCAAATGTTTACATACACTTGATTCTTAATACTGTGTTGTTACCTGGATGATCCACAGCTGTTTTTTGTTTTTTTCCCCCCCTTGTTGGTCCTAAACAGTAAAGCTGCCCGCTGTGCTTCAGGAAAATCCTTCAGGTCCCACAAATTCTTTGGTTTTCCAGCACCTTTTGCGTATTTGAACCCTTTCCAACAATGACTGTATGATTTTGAGATCCATGTTTTCCCACTGAGTAGAACCAAAGGACTAATACGCAACTATTAGAAAAGATTCAAACGCTCACTGATGCTCCAAAAGGAAAAACGATAAAAAATAAATTAATAAAAGAACAAAAAAAATAACATGCATTTTGTATGATCCCTCTTACTTTGGTAAAATAATTAACATTTTGCAGATACTGCAAAGCGTCTGCATAATTCTGACCACAACTGTATATATGTATTAGGGATGCCACAATTCTCAATATAATATTGAACCGTTCGGTACGACATCCATGGTTCATATGATATTCCATGTTTTTATCCAGTGTACAGAAGTATACAGGTGACTTCACTCTGATGTGCCAAGCCATCAGAACCAATCCTATATATATATATATATATATATATATATTTCCCCTTCGGGAACTCGAGCTGCGTCGGAAAACGCTAGGGGAACGCCTTCAGCGATACCAAGCTCTGAATCATATGTGTAATCAATCGAACGATGGGCGAGACGTCCGCGGCGGGGGACGTCATGACCAGGAAGCTT